TCAGCCGTTCTTCCATCATGACTGTTTTGAGTTCGCTTTTCTTTTGATGTCGTGTTTTCGTACTTTAACCTCCAGTTCTTTCCAAATGTGTTCTATGGGGTTTAAATCTGGTGACTAAGATGGTGTTTTCAAAATCTGTGGACAAATATAGAGAGACACCACAGGCGAACGTTGAGAGCCGTATGCTTAGGATCGTTATCATGATTAAAAATAAAGTTGTTTCCAATAACCAAATTTTGGGCTGATGATTTTAAATTATCTCTTAAATATTTAATTAAAGAGAATGATTCATTATGCCATCAATAAATACCAATTTACTTAGTCCTGATGCTGCCATGCAACCCCACATAAGAACACCTCCACCGCCATGCTTAACTGTTCCAACTAAATTCTTAGAATGAAGTTCCTCATCTTTAATTCTCCATACAGTTACTCGACCATCGGAACCAAAAATGTTAATCAGCAAATAGGACATCAGCAAATAGGGCATTATTCCAGTACGTTTCGGATGTATTTATCATTGATTTTTCGAATGAAAGCATAAGCTTTATGTTTTTCTCACTAACAAAAAAATTTTAAGGGCAGAACGGCCATGTAATCCAGCTTCTATGAGAACTATTCGAACAGTTTCAGGCGAAATTGAAGTAGAAAACTTTGCATTAAAGTCTGCAGAAACTTTTACAGCACTCAAACGTGGGTTTTTGACAAATTTTCTAATAATAAATCTATCATCACGTTTAGTTAACTTGCTCGGTCGATCTTTTTTACCTTGTTTTCAATCCGATTTTCTTCTTTAAAGCGTTTTATCACATACTGCACTGTAGAATGGGATGGTGTTTTCAAAATCTGTGGACAAATATAGAGAGACACCACAGGCGAACGTTGAGAGCCGTATGCTTAGGATCGTTATCATGATTAAAAATAAAGTTGTTTCCAATAACCAAATGATAACTTAACTAATTTATAACTAACTAATAACTTAACTAATTTAACTAATAACTTAACTAATTTAGCGATATTTCGACTTAATTTACCACTACTATGGTGAAAAAGTATCAATTTTCGAATGCTGTTTGTAATTTCTTTATGACTGCGACTCATTTTTCAATAATAAATAGAATATTATGAAGTAAACAATAAAAAATTAAAGTAAACGATTTTTTAAATGCCACCACAATGCAAAAATTAAAAAACGCAACAGACGATAATTCTAATTTTGATTTTATCCCAAAATATTTCAGTGTACGAAGACCTTTAAGAGATAAAATGTTTGTCATTTTTTATTATTAATTACTTAAAAATAAAGTTTCGCTATATTTAAAAAATATTTTCATGTAATTTTCTTACGAATAGATTATAGATCTTATTATTAAAATCTCATTCAAAACGTTTACTAGCATTAATGGATAGAGTATTATTTCAATGAAAATCATAAGTGTACGAGCACTTTTGGAAGCCACTGTATGCAGTTTTCAAACGCATCTTAGTCTGAGTCACAAAGTATTCTTCCGAACGAAACGCAATTCAAATAAATAAAATCAAATTCTAGAAAATTTATGTTAATAAATATATTTAAAATGCGCAGTTCGAATGAATGAATAGAAAATTTTAAAACAATTATCTGAAGAGACAATGCAACACAAAAAATTAAAATAAAAGTCTAAAAATTCAAAAATAACCTAAAATAATAACTATGACTTAAAATATAGAGTAAAAAGAAAACTATTTGAAAAAAAATAATAATAAACGATGCACCTTTTATTTAAACTACGCAGTTCGAATGAGCAAATAGAAATTTTTAAAACAGTTATTTGAAAGAAACCATGCAACTTAAACAATTAAAATGAAATTCGAAAAAAAAAAATACTTAAAATAATAACATAAAAATAATAAAAAAATAATAATAATAACATAAAGAACATTATTTGAAAGAAAGAACGATGTAACTTTTCCTCCTTACGCGCACTGTAAAAAGGGAAAGGAAAATAGGTTGCCATATAGTAAGAAGTTCGCCAAATTCTTGGCGCAACTGAAAAAAAAGGGCCAATATAAATTTTTGAATTTCTCCGTAAATTTCACACCAAATTTTACAAAATTAAATATTTAGGCATAATTTGAATCGCAAAATCGAAATATATAAATAATGACATGTCATTTTAGAAAAAGTCCGATTTTGTGTCAAAACACCTAGAATAATGCTATATATAAATCTGTATATATCCTAAGTAGTGCTTTTGAGACATGAAAAACGCAATTTGAATTTTGCCAATCGGCCCAGTAGAACGAGAGATATAAAACTGTCCCCCCCCCCTTTTTTTTTTTTTTCGCAGTGTATATCTTAACAAATTTTAACTTTAAATAACAAATTTGTGTTCTTTTTATGGGAGTAAATAGTAAAGATCACTATATACGTTTTTAAAGCTTTTTGATATTTCTAGGCTACCCAGTTTGTCTATTAACTTTTCAAATTTTTCTCAGTCTTAAAAATTTTCAGCATATTTATGTGCGAAAAGTGTGCTTAATTTCTGAAATTAGAATTGACATAGTCGTATGGGGAGGTTGCTGAGAAATGTAAACAAACAATTAGTTATTAAAATTAAATAAAATATAAAAAGATACATGAAAAATTCATAAATTAAATTAATGGCAAATAGTTAAATAGTAAAACACCGGATTTCATCTTGTTTCTGTCTGCGGCTAGAATTACTGTATCACTCAATGAATAAGAAGTATGGGAACCGGACTCAAGCTGAATTTAAGTCCTGAATATACTACAGTACAATGTACCATTTCAAGGGATGGTAAGCATATAGAGTATTCTTTTTCCAGCACGCAAATGAAAAAAATCAAAAGATTTGAAGCCTCACTAATGAAAATAGAGAATTCTAAGTTCTATTAACAGTATGAGAATATGGAAAAACATTTCATCAGAAAATTGTAGGTATAAAAAGAAAGAATAGTCAAACACTTCCCTATCAAGCTATAATTATAGTGCTGAAGCAGAATATGTGATAGAGAGGACTTTCCCCAAATACGAAGCTTGATCTGCAAGCTGAGAAAAAATCGCAATGCTCTGTATAAGTCATGGAGGTAGGAAGTAAGATGGAGTAGCCCTAAACAGGTTTCTCCCGTACCCTGCTCTGAAGCACCGGCGATCCCTATGTGGTGACCAAAACATTGGGTCATTTACCATTGAGTTCAATGGGATTTGACGCGTTCGGATGTAAATATTTTGTAATTACGTCATAAATATACATATAAATGTATATATTTTCTTTTCCTACAACACTTCAGAGTCCTAAGTATATGAAAACAACATATTTTTAAACAACATTTCATTCTGAACGGAATTAAATGCTATACTTTTCACAGGACAGTTTTCTCAGGATGGTTTAATTTGGATGAAATATTTTCACAAGTTTTCGTTAATTACATTAGGAAAAAAAATTAAGGTAATTCGATTTTATTCGGTTAAGGTACAAAAATTAAGATCAAAGTTTATTGTATTATTAATATTAAAATTATGCATTATTTCTTTTCTATTTATAGAGCTTCTTCCTAAAATACTTTCTTAAATATGACATGATTTTTTGGCTTCTGAGGCATCTTTTTAAATCGAAAAATGTAAGTCAATTTATAATTAATGCTCTATTCGGTTTAATTTTAAATTAGAGAATTATTAGGAATTAGCGAAATACTTTAAATAGTACTTTACTTTCTCTGAAAATTTCTGAAAGGGAATAAAATAAGTTTTTTTTTTTTTTAAGTATTATTTAAAACTTGTAACTGAGTCATTATAAAATGTAAGGGGAATAATTCTTTTAATTATACTTATCAGATTTTTTTTACCCTTCATTTCAACAATACATATTCCAAAACTCTTTATTACGTTCTTAAGTGCGCATCTCATAGCATTTGCTTTACAATACCTTTTAACAGATTGCTTTACAACACGAAAAATTCTTGCTTAAATAGTTTTATAACGTATTTGTCAACAGGATTTCAATTTATGTTTACAATTCAATATTAAGGTTATTATATATTTAGATAACATTTATAATCATTATAAATTAGATACATTTAATAATTAAATTTCTTCACTGTACTTTTACAATTGTTTATAAGTGAATAAATTCTTCATTTCAAATACATTTATAAATAATTTAATGAATATTTACGTATTTTGTCAAAGGCAGATACATGCTTTTTGCAAGCACATGCATAAATACCCATACATATTTTCTATTTTTCATTTCCGGCATGTGCAAATCTTTAATTTCTGTGCATTCACTATATTATTCGTGTAAAGTAATTTACACTAATTTAGCATACAACCGAAAGTTTTACATAAAAAATATATATGAATATAATTTGAATGAAAATTATATGCATTATTTTTAATACCCACTCAAAGGTCAGTTTTTCTTCAAAATTCCTCCACGATGGCATCTCTCTCTTTAGGCAGATAGCCCTTGCATGCGTTACTCTATTTAATAAAAACTTAATCTGACCTATGTGCCTAATTACGAATAAGATATATAAAATTAAAACGATGAGTTTAAAATGAGCAGCAGTAAAGCCTCTCCTCTAAAAAATTTTAAAAGGTACATGTTACAATAATATATGGATGTGAAAAAAATTTGTTTTATTTAAAACATTTTGGCATTTGTAAAAATAAAATTAAAGTAGCGAATACTCTATCAAGGGTATCGAAAGATGTATACAATTTTAAATGTATCGTAAAGTATTTTTCATTCTTTAAGCATAACATTTATCTTAAAATCTATATTTTTGTAGTTCAACAGCTTAGAATTTTATAAAACAAATTCATAATCAAAATCGCTGTTGTTAGTTATCGAAAAATAACCAAGATGTGACTTTTGCGTAAATGTCACTAAACTATACAAATTGCTGTTATCCATCACACTATGGATGTTTCTTTCATGCGAAAGTGTCCCTTTTTCGATTTGTATGGAACTGTCGTCTGTCGAAATACTTACAGAACCGTGTCAGGCGAGCTTCTGAATGTAAACAAAGAACATCTGATGACCCAAGCTTCAAAGCAGTGCTTCACTTTCCTATCTCCATGGTATGAGTGACCGTTTTTAGTCCTTATGTTTGGTTAAAATTGTTTGGTAGCTGGTGATCCGAAAGGTCCGCAAGTGCTCCTTCCCGAGGGAAATCACCAATACTGGATTCATTTAAGCCGTTTATCTTAGTGTCTCACTATGTTAAGATCGTTGTCTTTCAACGCACAATGAGAAAGCATAATCCAAGATTCCCTTTCACCAACTGGTAGTTCGGTTCGAGGTTCGAATTCCGCGAACGGGCTGGCTGCATGGGCGTTTTTCGTGGTTTTCCCCACGTGTGACGTGTATACGAGCCAGTTTCCCTTAGAAAGTCCTCCCCGAAGGCATCCCTCCCCTTAGGCAGATAGCCCTAGTGTGCTTTGCCGTATTCTCAATACACCAATACACCCTTTCACCAACTTGCTGAAACTTTCGACACGAAATCAGCCGATACAACGGTAAGAACGCGACGGCTACAAGAAATTTAGCATTTCTCATATGCGCTCTTGCAAATTTATTACTTCTTCTGGACAGTAAGATTTGAGTGTGGTTTTTATCTTTCTAAACGTCTCAGCTTCCACCCATGAGTTTGCTTCCCAGGAAAAGAGAAGTATGCATCCAAAACTTAGTATCGAAGTCCTACTTATTACTGAAATGAACTCTCTCGAGCTCAAGAGAATTTTTCGCTGACATTCTATTTCAGTTTCATTAAAACAAATCTAGAGCTCATCTCATTTAAGAGTTCCGATGCGCTTCGTTTAGAATTATGATTTATTTTAAAAACTGAGAAGTACCGGACTCGCGTTCCAGTGAGTTCCAGTATAATTGAAGCCCTTAAGGAGAGGGAAATATCTATAAACAGATCCACGCAATAGAAACCCGAATATTCTAACGGTTACACCCACCAGCGGCTTAATGCAAAAGACCTCTGAATGCTAGGTATTCTGTTTGTGTTCTAATCTCAGTTAACGGATTGGCTGCATAGGGGTTTTATAATTTGCCCGTGTGTAACCCAAACATTAGCCAATGGTTTCCCTTAGAAATCCTTCATAAAGGCATACCTCTCTTTTGCCATTATTAAACAATACAGTCTGAACTAATTTCAAGGATCGATGATATTTGAAAAGACATGTCGCTACTTACCTTAAGTCAAGTATGACTAATACTATTACTATAATAATACTTATGGCATACTTAGTACACTATAATAATCCCCTTTCGCTAACTGAATGTCCATATCATGCAAGTTTCTTGCGAATGGAAATTATTGTAGAGGAAATTACTGTTCCTTTTTCCTGTGGTGAAATTTGTGATTTTGATGAACTGGAATAAAAAATCTCAGATTGGCTCTTTTTTTAACCAAGGTACAATTACTATATTTCATGTATTTATTTGATTCTAAATTGTTGGAAATGACGCCATTTGCAAAAAGAAGGTTATTCTAGAGAAAAATTAATAATCATAAATATTTTAGCTAGTGAAATACATACAAAAAAATATAAATATTTAATATTATTCTTAAAATTTTCCAGATGGCAATAAATAAAAGCCTTTATGAACAATATTCAGTATTTATAAATATTCAAGATGCTAAAATTCAAGAAAATTTCTGAAATACAATCTTTTAATTTACGTATAATTTTAACTCTCGGAAATTCTTTAATGTTTATAAACCTTTTTACCACGCTCATTATTTTTATAAGCAGTTTGCATTAACTTGGTCTTTCCTATTATAATTATTTCTTCTAGCTGCTAGATTTTCTTTTATTTTGTTAATTGTTAGCTCTAAATTATAATCTGAACAAAATTCTGACCCAAAAAATTTTGACAGCAGGAGAGGTAAACTAGTTTTTTTCACCATTTCCAATTCAAGGAAACCGGAGATGAGAGGTTCAGACGTTATGTAACAGAGAATGAATTATACTAAACATGCACTTTAAACATGTTTGAGGCATTTATGATGATGACAAATAGTCTTCCTTACCATTCCACGTTATTTTTCTTTAAGCCCTATGCAAAAATGTGTTGCTATTGTGAATTTAAATAAAAGAAGAGCTGAAATATGAGTAATAACTTAGGCTCATTTCAAATTCTGTCCTAACAAGAAAATGCAATAAGATCTCGTGAAAGCCTGCACCGCAGGCGGGTTCCGTGCAGAAAAGGACGCCGATAGCTTCTCTGACAGTAAAAAAAAAAAAAAAAAAAAAAAAAAAAAAAAAAAAAAAATTAATAATGTGCTTTCAAACAAATATTCCGAAAATAATGTAAATAGAAAAATATATAATGATAGAAATTACATTTAACACAAAAATATAATGCAAAGATTTCTTAGAATGAAATTAAAGTTTATTTCACATTCTTTTAAGTACAGGTAGACGTTCGAAGTTTTTTGAATATTATGTACCACGCCGTGGACACATTGAACATTATGTAAATCCGAACTTAATACAAAATTATGAGCAAACAAAACCTCATAAAAATATGACTATAATTTAAACATCTCAGTAAAAGTAGGTGTAAGCAAAGAATTGTAACCAAAATTTCTCAGAAACTTATTGCAGTTTTTATGAATATTTTTGCTAAAGTTTAGAAGCGTAGGATAAAAAAGGATACGTCAAAAATTCCTAAATTGGAGAATATAATACTGCATCAATCCCTTCGCTCTGAAGGTTATTAAAAAAAAGAGGAAAGAAAGAAAACATGTAGAATTAGAATTGTGTGCATTTTGTATTGGTTTGCTTTCATAAATTGTGTAACGACCTAATTTGTAGATAGTTTACTAGAAGGCAAGAGCGCGAATTATTAGATCTTATTCATGAGAATCTGCCAGAATCGCGCTAGTAGAAAATTAAGCCTAAACCTCTAAGCTCTAGCCTTCTAAGACCTAGTCTCATGGAGGACACCAGTTGTTCTACAATAATATAGAAATAATAAGGCAGTTACTTTACCTGCTTATTTCACAGGGCAACAGCGACTTCTTTAGAATTGTTCATTTTATGATTACTGGAGTTTTGTGTGTGAAACAAAAGTAGAAAATGTTAACAAAAATGATTACGCTTGTTTTCTGAGTTAAAAAAATTTACTAACTGAAAGAAATAATATAGCACTTATAAAATAATACATCAGAAGTTATTTGGTGGAGATAGTTCAAAGGCAGCTATGCTGACTTGGCGTTAATGATGTATAAATCAGCGGCTTCTTTTCATGCATTCTTTTCCTTTTGAGATAAATCATGCTAACTCTTTATTCATTATTGGTAGCATTTCTATCAATAATGCACTTTTATATGACATTATTTTTAATAATTCTTTTAATTCAGTTTCTGTGTTAGGAAATTAACCTCATAAAGCGTTTACTGTTATATGAGTTATTTCAAATACAGAGCATCAAATTTAATTCGTCTCATAGCGCCTTCTCGGAAAAACATTATACTGCGTACACTGTTTAAAACAGTTATTGACTAACTCAAGAAACCAAAAATTACTTGGCAGCAGTAATATATTTTAAAAATGTGATTATTTAGACATGTCAGTGACATCGAATAAATTTTTAATATCATTTGTATCAAGTTGCATGAGGACATGAGAGAATAACCACCACTTTTTAATTCAGGTGCCCCTTGTAGAATTATTCAGGAATTTTTAGAGCAAAAAACAGTACTACCCTCGCCACGATTCAAACTGCGAACCTCCCGATGCTAGCCGGACATGAATCCAATTACAACAGGAAGGCACTCTGTAAAGAGACAGAAAATACTTTACATACCTGAAATTTTACTCTGATTTTTAATGCTTCTACATAAAAAAATCTGAAATAAATGTTGAATACCATAACTTCATATCAGAAAGAAAGGAGACCTAATTTTAAATTATTAAAAAGTATACTAGAAGTCAGTTGCTACAAACTCGCATTTATATCTCTCATTAAAAATTATTTGAAGAAGGTCATAAATATTTAAAAAAATTAAAGCTGGAAAGAATATGTCTGAATTTGTATAATCACAGAAAGAAAGCTCTTAGCAAACAAATAAGACGTTAAAAACTCAGCTTTAAATAATAACAAAAGCTAAAATAAAAGTAATGAATAATTAATAATATAACTTTAATTCTTCATTTTTTTACTTGAAAAAAACAATATTCAAATCCGAACAGTCGGGTCCGTGATAGCATTTTTGTAATAGGTGTCTGAAGGGATATACGAGATTCATTTTGCTCTGAAATAAAAGAAATAAATAACTTTTCAGATTTACTTTTAATCAACTTCATTGTTTCTAGTTAAAGGTTTGATTTCTATACATTCTTAAAGTATTAATGCAGATAAAAATTCCACTTTAATAAAAATCAAAAAATGCGTTTACATGTGCAGTGCTTAAAGATTGCCTTCAGAATACAAATATCAGAGCATTATTTCAAACGATATATAGATATATATAATAAAACTCTTATAAAATAAAAGGTTAATTTTATGTACTTCAGTGTATTAAAATAGAAAGTTAAAAGCATTTAATCGATTAAATTAAAACTAAATTTAGTCGATTAGTTTTAGTTTAAAAATTAAAAAGAAATATTTATTTATTTATTTATTTGGCAAAGATTTGCATTCGAATCAGCTATTCTACTACGTAAAAAATTAGCCAGCTTTGGAAAATTCCTGTTTCAACATATAAGCACCCTTCCTCCCCAAATTTCAGGGCTGACTTCGCTCCTGGATAAGCAACGCTGATTGTGGTGAGGAGAACCTCGCTCGTGTAGGAAGAGATTTAGCTTGGAGACTCGAATAAGAACCATGTCTTTAGACACAAAAACTGCGTTTCTTTACCGTGAAACACATGAATCAAGGTGATACTACATCAAAAGCAGGGTAATGAGACTTTGACTAATAACAGTAAGTCTGAGAGTAATGTCAACTAGGCTTTCCTAGTGTATGTAAGTTTTTTCTTGAGCTGCACAAACGGTATAGTGGCTAGGGAAGACTACTGCAATACTGAAGGGCCCGGAGCATGTTGAAAGCATGGAGACAACGGTGGCCGCCTATTAG